ATAAGGAGTTGACTCGAGTAAAGAGTCTCGGCGCGCTGCGCCCTGTACAGCCGGTTGCCTGTACTTGGCGCGAGACTCGACCGAGTCTCTTGATACACGTGGTACGTAATAATACGATAGAAATTTAATCTATACCTATATGTATTTTCATATAAGCAGTACGTCTATCTATGGTAATATGAAATTCAAGTAGTTAATCAAGGAGAGTTCTGGATAGAGATTCCTGCACCGACATGATACCGACATCGGGGTTCGCGTCCGTGCTAAGTTAGCCATGTTGGCGCCCCCTGTGGATGGTAAGTGAGGACGATTGGGTCCCCTATAAAAGATTTCTGCTTACCGACGGCTCCGGAATTTTTTTTGAAGAGGGTAATGCGCGCGCAGGAGTCGACGGCGCCGACCCCTTCATCGGCTGACGTCATCGGAAGGGGGCCCTAGTTTTATGTCAGGTGTCAGGGATTTTTCGTCAGGTGTCAGGGATTTTACGGCAGATTTCAGAAATATTACATCAGTCGTAATTGAGTACATTGACCTTTTGTACGTAACCGAATTTTGTACTTGCGATCCCTAGGCAGCTCCTACTTCCCTTTCCCTTCACACTTCCCCGCGCAGACTAGCATGTGGAGTCGGTGGAGATCAAGAGACTCGGTCGAGTCTCGCGCCAAGTACAGGCAACCGGCTGTACAGGGCGCAGCGCGCCGAGACTCTTTACTCGAGTCAACTCCTTATCCCCCAAAAAACACTTACGTGTAAAAAACTACGCCAAGTACAGGATTGCTGTGAATTCCTCTAACAAAAAGTATTGATATCATATTATTGAGGCCAAGTACATAAGTCACTACATGTTTTCCTATTATATGATCTAGCACTGGCCCATCATTTTAATTATATTTTCAATATTTCCTATAACGTTTTCGCTACTTTTTTATGTTACTACTGCTTCCCGTATTTAATTATGACTTAATGGTGATTTAATAATTAATAAAACTTTAGATGATTCCTTATCGAGTACTACTTGGCGGGTCCGTGCATTTCTTGATATAAATTTGGTACAAAACCAGTACCAATTGTCTATAGAAAGCATATTAACAATAACTCGTCAAAAATAAACACGGTAAAAGCTTAATAACAAACATACAGCATTAGAATACTATGAGCACGTATAAAGAGTAAGTACTTTGGAATTCCTGGCACGAACCCGCCAAGTAGTACTCGATAAGGAATCACATAAAGTTTTATTAATTATTAAATCACCATTAAACCATAATTAAATACGGGAAGCAGTAGTAACATAAAAAAGTAGCAAAAACGTTATAGGAAATATTGAAAATATAACTAAAATGATGGGCCAGTGCTAGATCATATAATAGGAAAACATGTAATGACTTATGTACTTGGCCTCAATAATATGATATCAATACTTTTTGTTAGAGAAATTCACAGCAATCCTGTACTTGGCGTAGTTTTTTACACGTAAGTGTTTTTTGAGGGATTTCTATGACTCTAGTAGGCCAGAAGGGCGCTCAATATTCAGCCAGTAGATAATTCGAAAATAAGATATTTCGTTCCAAACACAGGTATAAGGAGTTGACTCGAGTAAAGAGTCTCGGCGCGCTGCGCCCTGTACAGCCGGTTGCCTGTACTTCGCGCGAGACTCGACCGAGTCTCTTGATGCGCTACCACTTTGGACTTTTCCTTTTCCAAAGGACTTTGGGTGCGTTCCACTTAACGCTCGCAATGCTCGTGTCCACGACCGTGAGATTTCGTGTTCCACTAGTTTGTGGACTGTTGTGGACTTCGTGGTCGAAAACTTAAGTGGAACGACTTATCGGACTTGTGAACGATACAAAGATGGCTGGTGTTGTAGAGAATATGTGTATAAGGCCAATGCGTGAACGGAATTATGTTTCTGAGAGTTCATCAAGCTCAGATGACAATAATATCATGTACCGTTTTGCGCACGCAAAGCATCTTGTACAGGAACATTTAATTCGAGTAATATATCCCTCTCGGAATCGTACAGCGTTATTTTTTCAGTCTCCATCATAAATTTGAATTGAAAATGGCGCACAAAAATATCAAACGACCACAAAGACCCACCTATTTGATGTGGGCGAAGCGATCGCATCGCGGTCGCCAATAATGACGTCATCGATGACGTTTCAGGGACTGCTCACAGCGACCGCGGCCTTAAGTGGAACGAGACAGAGGGTGTGCGACCGTTGCGAGCGTTAAATGGAACGCACCCTTTGTAACAACTTAGTCTTGAAGGATATACTAGGAGAAGAGGGATGAAGACATAGGAAAGAATAGGAAACTTAAAAAATCGAGTGGAAACGTTTGGTGGCAGCGAACAGGGAAGATGTTGTTTAAGGGAAGAAGGGGAAGATAGTTAAAAAAAAGGACTGAGGGAACAAGGAGAGCACAAGATGCGTAAATCGTATACACGAGGACTAGATTATTCTAGAGGAGCGAGAAAAGAGAACACTGGAAAAAGTAGGAAAAGTAGGAAATATAAGGGAGAGAAATGGGCCCCTCCTCGCACATTTCCGTGAGGTCCTGCCTCTCCTGAAGCGAGCTACGACCCCGCCGACGATTCATAAGGCACCATGTTTTTTTTATTGAGGAAAAAAAATATAGTTTCTTGCGCGCGCTCGGCTCATCGTTTAACGCACCTGTCATAGGTGTTTTCAAAAATGAACCATATTTTAAAAGTTTGCCATCCGTCCAAAAGAAGATCAAATTTTACTTTTTATTTGAAGATGCTTGAGAGTGTAATGTTACGTGGTGCCAGTTGAAATCTCCCTAATTATCTCTGGCTCACCGCTACTGTTTTACGATTCGTTTCACAACTTTCTGCAAGTGCTGCTAACAATCGTCGTGTCTCTTTTTTCTTTAATATATCTGAGAAGGATCCAATATTGTTTGCAGTACTTACAATGAGCTATAATCACGTCAGTCATACTAGACGGAAGAACTTGGAAAACCAGACTGCGTAGGGTACGTTCAGAAACGTTTTTCAGAGTCGACTGAGAAGTTCTATCATTTTAGT